ATGGTCGAATAGAATGATGATCAGACAAATTATATAAGGTCAATAGGAATTTACGTTCATTTATTTTATTCTTTTATCGATTCACTATTAAATAGGTCACTTTTATTCTTTCATTCGAGAATATTCCATTTATTGTATCATCCATATTTACATTTAAATATCAATTATAAATTTTTTAACAAAATTATAATTCTTTATTTATTATAAATAAATAAATAAATAAATAAATAAATTCTTTCAAAAAATTTTAGGTAACAGTTTCAGTTGAAAAAGGTAAACGTCTTGGTTTAGTTATTCGTGGTGGTTCGGAATATGGTCTTGGAATATTTATATCAGGTGTTGATAAAGGTTCTCTTAGTGATCAATCTGGTCTTTCTATTGGTGATCAAATATTATCTGTTAATGGAATTGATTTTCGTCATATAACACATGTTGATGCTGTTCAATTATTAAGAAATATTGATAAAATGTCATTTCATTTAAGACAAATAAATAAATTACCAAAACCAAAAAATGATATTAAAAATTTAAATTTAAAATCAATTAAAACAAGTCCTCGATTATATCCAAGAATAATTAATAAAACAAAATCTCAATTTGATTTACCATCAACATATGAAAATAATATAATTAATTCAAAAATTAATTTTTTTCAATTAATTATTGATAAAGATGATCAAATTAAAATAAAATATCTTATTAATCAATATCAACTAGATCAAATTCATATTGATCAATTAATTAAAACTTTATTAAACATTTTAAATAAACAATATCAACAATATAGAGTAATTTTTTTTGTTATAATAGTTTTCTTTTTAATCTCTTATTAATAAATATTTTTTTAGAATGAAATAATTGAAACAATGCGAAAAATTATTCGTCCAAATGATCTTGATCGTTTTGATATAAATATAATAAAAGATGATTTAAGTACATTAAAGGTTAGTTTATTTTTCTTATTAATAAAATAATTTATGAAAAAGATAATATTTCATTCTAGTAATAAAAAAATTAAAAAAAACTTATAAAACAGGTAAAAAGAAAAGATGATGACATATGATAAAATGTGTGTGCATTTATATTGCTCTCTTGTGTTTATTTGCCCATATAGCTTTATGTTGTGTAACTAAATAACTTTAAATCTTTTTCACTGAAAAACCAAAAAACCAAACTAACTTATATTATAAATAATTTTTAAATTTAAAAGAAAAAAAAATAACTCGTTTTTATATTTAATAATTCTAGTTATCTCATGAACGTTTGCTTCAAACTTCTTTAACACCATCACGAATCTCATTTCATTCACCAACTGTTAATATGGTTTGAACCTTTTTGTTTTTATTTCTTGAAAAAATAAAATAACATTTTGTTTTTCTTTTATGTTTTTAGTCAAAATCAGTTGAAAATTTATCAATTGAAAATGATCAACGTTTAATGCGTCCAAAATCTTTATTATTAGATGAACAAATAAAAAAATCATTTGATGAATATTCACCAAAAATTCAAAGAAAATATTCAACTGAAAATAAAAATTTTTCAATGAATTCATTAAGAAAAAGGAAATGCCTTCATCATGTTGATAAAAACGAAAAATATTTTACATTAAATCC